AGTACTAAAGGTTAGATCGATTTGCTCCATCTCTTAGCCGTCGTTGATCTCTCGTGAGCTTAGTCTAAGTAAGGTATAAAAATACTGGTGGTGGCTAATTAGGTGGTCTTGGAGGCTGAATGCCCGCGTGCAACCACCAGGTGCCGATATAGGTAACAGCCCATGCGACGCTCCAATATACTAGTAATCAAACTGAAGGGTGCTTGTCTGAATTTGCTTGCATCGGGGAACTCGCTTAGAGGACAAACGTCTTTACTTTGTTATTTCCTGACTGTGCGGTGGTATCGTACCTGCAGCTCAAGCTAAGAACCTCTTTCGTGAGGCCGTCATGAGGTCTCAGCACGGCGCAGGCGGATGTATCGGGTACTTCTGTCCGAGCGTTGTTGCAGCACTGCCGCGTGATATTTTAAGTACTGTCGACTTGCAGCCTTGAGCCACCACCCCGCGCCCCGCCACTCTGTTTGGCGATAGGCAGCCACTGTGGATGCTATCAACATCAATCACCAGCTCACCAAGCAACGCTATCCATCACCAGCACAGTCATCATTCCCCTTACTGAAAGTCTTCATTGTCGGCTCTACCTCTAGAAGATCTCTGGGGGAAACAAAGGTCTCTGCTAGTCATTTTGTGAGGCTTGCCCCTGCTCTGCTGGGTGGATTGGAGAGAGAGCTGTGTCCTGGCCTCGTGCCTTCACCAATTCAATCATGGAGCAAACCAAAGCACTAAACGCTCTCGAGGTATGGCAGCCAAAGCTTCAATTTCGTCAAAACTGCCCTCCATACATGCCAGGACTCTAACCTCTGCTAGCCTTTCCTCGCCCTGTCAAAGTCGGCAAACTCTCCTCGCGCCGCCGCAGATCTCATCACACGCGCAACGTCAGCTCCGAATACCTTCATCTTCGCAGAACTCCTCCAGACACCCCAGATCACCGCGCTGTCCAAGTCCCCCGAGTTCCTGCCTCACTACAAGCTACTCCAGATCTTCTCACATGGCACCTACCAAACGTACAAAACCACCCAGGACCTACCAACGTTAAGCGATGCCCAGACGCTCAAGCTCCGCCAGCTGTCCCTCCTCTCCCTCGTCCGCGACCGAAATAACCTCTCCTACGACAGGCTCCAGAAGAACCTCGATCTCGAGACGACCCGCGAGGTCGAGGACCTCGTCATCACAGCCATATACGCCGGTCTCTTGAACGCCACACTCGACCCCGCCCGCCAGGCCGTCCAGGTTTCCAGCATCGCTCCGGTGCGGGACCTCGCCCCTGGCGCCATATCCGAGATGACCTCCATTCTCAATACCTGGTCCGGACGGTGCTCCTCGACCCTCACCGAGCTCAACGAGCAGATCTCGAACATCCGCGCCTCCGCCGATCTCCGAGAGAAGGAGAAGAAGGCGGCTGACGAGAAGCTCAAGTCCCTCATAACCGATGCCAAGGAGAACGACTCCAGGTCCGACCACCACCGCGATGCTCTTAGAAGGACTTTTAACAAGCGGACCATGACGGGTGGCGGAGGGCGAGGGGATGACATGGAGCTGGACGAGCCCTTTGAGAATGAGCCCAAGGGCCGTTCGAGCAAGCGGAAGATTTAGATGATATGATGCACCAAGACGGATAGCCCTGATGTGACGTCTACGAGAACACATAGATCTTGGAGTCTAGACTTCAAAACACAGGCCGCCCCAGCCACGAAATGAAGATTGAGTAATGAGCCACGAGAAGAAAAAATACATTAGGTGTTTTTTTCCATGTTATCTTTTGTATTACAAAAACCACTTCCTGCTAACCTAATGAATATTCATGAAACGCACTGTCCCAACTCCAAAATGCAATCAGGGGAATCCTTCACGGGGGACACTATGCGCTGTAGATGTAGAAAAATAGATAGGTAGTCCGACGCCAAAATCTTCCAATTTCTGTACCAGAAGACAGCAACAACAGGGGAAACGAGGAGACATTTGCCGATGAAATGCACGCAATTATGTGCTAAAATCAAGCCGTAATGATCGTGATGGTGATGGGTCTTTTCTGTGCCTGCCAGCGACCTCACTTAAAGCTCAGCTCAGCGGTCAACGCCTAATGAAAGAAGAATCCCCTCACAGTCTCTTTCCAGGAACGAGGATGAAGAGAATGCATAGCGACGCATCGACGAGCAAGGTCACCGCCAAGACCATAAGAGCTCGCTTTGAAAGCAGTTGGCGGATGTAGGGCTCACGGATGCTCGAGAAGTTGAATGGGGTATACTCGCTGTACCCAACCAATGCCAGCACAGGGTCTAAGCAATACTGATAAGAAGCAAGGAAATAAACTCCAACGGTGAATGGAAGGATAAGCTATTCAGGATGTTAGTTATGTGGGAAAATGAACATATCCTTGGCCTTTACTTACCCAACACTTGGTTAAGCGAGACTTGTCGAGGAAAATCAATACAAATCCAGCCCAGAATGCTCCAAACATGGCAATCAAGCCGACGATGAGACGCAAAACAAGAGTGGGTGGAATCAAGTTGCCGAGAGCCTTCATTCTCAGAAATCCGGGGAAAGCGTCCCTCTCCATGGCCTGGAAAACGTAGTCCTTAGCGACATCAAAGACCTCTGGATCATCTCGGCCATCCTCCTCGATTGCCCGAGTGACATCATCCGTAATCGATCCTGGCAGGGTGATCTCGCGTTCAGCGCCAGGAAGAAGGAAGGTGTAAAGAATCTTCTCGGCGGAGGATTTGATATCGGCTCGAGCGACAGTATGGCCAGGTGAATTCGAGTCGGTGAGATCATGCGAGTTGCTGAATTGTGGGCTTGGGCGAGCAAGATTCGATCCGCTCTGCCTGGGAGAATCTTGAGCCTGTTCTTCTCGTAGAAATAACGACATTTGCGCGTCTTGGTCCCTCTCCTTCTCCGTCGCATACATCGAGGGCCCAGCTATCCTTGGCTCGAGGTCTCCCATGCTCTCGAGAATTGCCGATGATCTCTTAGAGCTTACCTTATCCATATCGGGGGTCCCGATCATGACCGATCGACGAAGCTCACGGACATAATGGCGACACAGGGACATGTGTTGGGCAACATCAAGCCTTGAGAATTGTCAGTACTGGTTCGGACAAAGAGCGCAGACAAGAGAACTAACCAAAAGTCGAGATAGTCCACAGACCGCTGTTGGTCTCGCATATAGATATAGAAAGAAAATAGATCGACCGGCGGTAAAGTACGGCGACTCAGAACCTCAAAGAGAGTGGGTAGGCGGTTCCTGGTCAGATCGGGCGCAGGAGAGGGCGTCATCGCCACGGGTTCATGTTCGCGGTCTGCCATGACCAAGGATTCGGTGGTTTATCAGTCTGATCAAATAGTCGAAGTTTGGTGAAGCCCTTTTCGCGAGGTTTTCGGGGTCCGCGAGGGGGTGAGGGTCGGAATTGCAGGTCGAATTTGTACGACTCCTATTGATCGGAATCTCGAAACACCGGAAATGTCAAGGAGCGTGGTGCAGTTGGTGGTGGTCACTGGTCCCTTTGTTTTATCTGGCGAGAAAATGAGCGAAAGTCCTGCCAAAGGGGGGTTTATTCGTATTCCAGTCGTTCGTGCTCGTCGCCGTCGTTGTACCAGAGAGGTTGGAATGGAGTTGGGAACTGCGCATAGCGATAAACACAGATGCATTGCTCAACTTCATTTGACGTGACACCCAATTTGCGGACCTCCAAACAAGGAAGCTTGACTAGCCAAATAGTGGGTACAATAGCCTTGTCCTTCGAAGTTCGTATCCGCAGAAAAAGGTACGTACCTCAGACACGTGATTTTGAGGATTAACCACGAGGTGAGGGCTTTGATTGGGTCGCTAGCCCCCCACCAAACTTTTTCGAGCCTGCCCTAGGCACACAGAAATTATACATTTTGGCATCCGACTTCAACAACTCCTCATAGCCAGCCGGACATCACGAGACGAGCCGCAGGTACGACCCGATCCAATTCCCTTGAACAATCATTCATTAGATTCGCTCTTTTGCCCAGCAGGAGAACTAGAGAATCACCTTTTACTTTATTTGTCACCGAACAGAGCAACTGATCTCCCACCACAGAAATGTCGTCAAAGCCTTCAGGAAAGACCCAGCGTTCCGCTATTGCGGACGTTGTTGCCCGCGAGTACACCATCCACATGCACAAGAGAGTACGTCGAAGCGAGCGCTCGAACCTACAAGCTTTGAATTGATGGAGCGGTTTGCTAACATTCGGGTGTGAAGGTGCACGGTGTTTCCTTCAAGAAGAGGGCTCCCCGCGCCATCAAGGAGATCAAGGCTTTCGCCGAGCAGGCCATGGTACGACTCACCACAACCACCTCTTCGACCGGACATCAATGGCGGCGGACAACTGGGTGGAAGATCAGCGGGCTAACATTGCAATCTAGGGTACCTCCGACGTCCGTCTGGACCCTGAGCTCAACAAGAAGGTCTGGGAGCAGGGTGTTAAGGGTGTTCCCTACAGGCTGCGCGTGCGAATTTCCCGACGACGAAATGACGAGGAGGGCGCCAAGGAGAAGCTGTACAGCTACGTTCAGGCCGTCAACGTCAAGAACCCCAAGGGACTCCACACTGTCGTCGTTGAGGAATAAGGTGCGGTTTCTTTCCAAGGAAAAAGGATCTGGGTGAAATTGGCATTTCGGAGTTGCGAACGGCATTCTAGCTTTTTACGCTAAAAATACTGAGGGCAATGTGAACAAAGCTCGAAATTATGACAAACAAAACAAAATTCTGGTCCTGTTCTCGTTGTGATGCCGACTGGATACGGGAATGACTCCAGACACGAAAGTCCTGTTGTGAAGTATAGGCTATACTGTTTGTTGCAAACCTCCCAAAGAACGCATTTGGATAATATGGTCTTGGGATGCCAAGGCTTCCTGAAATTCAATGCAAACCCTAACTCTAGTGAAGAAAAAAATGAAAACTGGTTAAGGCAAAGTTCCAAAGACTCCGGTTCTCCTCAGAAAATGCATCATGGTATCATGAACTCTTCCCTTACTCCTCCTCGATGTCCCTGTGCCGTCCCAGCACCTTCTTCTTGAACTCCTCTGGGTCGCTGTCCCAGAGCTCTGCAGCCTCGCCGTTCAGCGGGGATGCGCTACAGATAAGCATGTTAGACATCAGAAGTGACATGTTTGGTAAATGGGGGCTAACTTACTTGTTGGGTTCTCCGAGCAAGCTTTGCAGGCTCAGCAGAACAGTCTGGACGTTGTAGGCGGCAGTCCACTTGTCCTTGAGAATGTCCAGGCAGATGCGACCTGAGAAATCGACATTTGGGTGGTAGATGGGGGTCTTGAACAGAACCGTAGGGGGGGCATAGGGGTAGTTTGAAGGGAAAGCAAAGCTCAGCTTCATGGTCAGACCAGTATAGGGGGTGTCATCCGGACCCTCGATGGTTGCAGTCCATGATAAAAGATTGCCATCAGCCGATGGAAATGCAGATACGCCAGGAGCAGGCGAAGTCATAAGCTGCATCAGCTCAGTCTGCAGCCTATCAATTGCCAGTTAATTTCATCATTCAGTAGTGGCGGATGAGGAGATCCTACCTCTTGGTGACGCTTTGAGAATCAGGCTTGCGGGCTCCATTGAGCTTGGCAGCATCCAAAGCACCGGGAGCAGCGTTTTGGTTGTCCTGTGTAGAATAGTCCATGGCGGAAAGTGAAGAGTAGCACAGGTGGGCTAATGTGTGCTTCTGATGATAGCTTTTGTGAGAAGTTATGTGGAAAAAACCAATTGGATGAGAACAGGAAGACGGCGCCAGAGAACCAATGCCTGGAGAGTTTTATATTAAGACGGAAAGCAAGAGCGATGCCAAACTCCAAAACAGGCGGGTCCAGAAATGGATGAGAATCAAACTTGGCGCTTGCACAAAGAAGGCGAGGAAGACGATGCTGGTCAAGAAGATCTGGTAGGTAAACGATGGAAGACCAAAAGCCAGGCCGGTTCCAAATCAACGGACTGGACCATTGTTTGCCGCAGCAACGGCGAGTCCCAGCGCTTTGGACCACCGCCACCAATCAGCTGCGCGCCACCACAGCCGCCCTGACTCAATAGTAGGCGGGCGCCTGGCAACCAACCAAAACAGTGTCTCAATGGTGAGCTGGCACGCCCTGAACCAGCCAACCGCAGATCACACCCTGCAATACACCTGTTTAGGAGAGAAAAACAGCTTAACGCGGGTGGACGCGATTGTCACGACCTGGATTTTTCTTTTGCGCGTGCCACTCTGCACGCCACTGTCAATCAGACGCCGTCCGCTGAGGTTGTATTTGCCTGCATGTGCATGAGCGTGCTAGCATTATGGTAAGTGCTGCCACCCCAATGAGCAATGCATCACTTTTGTTTGTGTACTTTCATTGCCAGAGGAGAAGTTCATACAATAGATAGCTAACATGTCACAGTCGCAACTCGATCCTCTTCCCAGGGATTTGCCCTTCCGTATCGTCTCAAAGACGGTTGGGCGAGGGGCCTACGCTTCGTAAGACTACCTTACATTCATTTCGCTTCCTCTTTCGGTTTACTAGGGCTCGGGACTAATATTCCGGTTGTAGGATAAAGAAGGCCATCCCTCTGGATGAACCAAACCCCGTATTTGCAGTCAAGCTTATTCACAAAGGCTATGCCTTGAAACAGGGGCGTGTCTCACTCAAGCAGTTGGCCATGGAGGTGTCTCTCCATTCACACATTGGCCAACATCCCAACATCATCGAATGGTTTGCCTCGGGTGAGGACAATGTGTGGCGTTGGATTGCCATGGAGTACGCCGAAGGTGGTGACCTGTTTGACAAGATCGAAGCAGACGTGGGGGTGAGGGAGGATATTGCCCAGTTGTACTTTGCCCAATTGGTTGGTGGTGTCAGCTTCATGCATTCCAAGGGTGTAGCGCATCGTGATCTGAAGCCGGAGAACATCCTGCTCTCCTCCGATGGGAGCTTGAAGCTGGCAGACTTTGGCATGGCCACCATGTTTGAATACAAAGGCCAGAGAAAAACGAGCTCCACGCTCTGTGGAAGTCCTCCGTATATCGCCCCGGAGATTTTACTGTGCGGAAAGGTGGACAAGAAGTCTGCCGGCGGAGAGAAGTACTCTTCCGACTTGGTGGACATATGGTCCTGCGGTGTTATCCTCTTCGTTCTCCTCGTTGGAAACACCCCGTGGGATGAGCCCACCCAGAGTAGCTGGGAGTTTCAGGAATACGTACGTACATCAGGGAAGAGCAGCGATGCCCTGTGGGAGAAGATCCCGCCAGAGGCCCTCTCCTTACTGCGTGGCATGATGAACACTTCTCCCAAGAAACGCTTCAGCTTCCAGCAAATCCGACAGCACCCCTGGTATACACGACACAACCCTCTTCTCACCACAGATGGGAAGATCTCCGACCCTATTAACCTTGCTACTCAGATGCTTGAGAACCTACACATAGACTTTAGCCAGCCACCAAGCGCTTCACAGAGGGAAGCCGGCGCTGATAGCATGGACATTGATACTGGGCTGAATGCTGGTCGCTTCGCATCCACCCAGCCTGAGGCACCTATGGTGGATGAGGACTGGGACTGGGAACGTCCTGTATTGCGGTCTATGGCTGCACCTGCCTCCTCCGTGCCAGCAAGGGCTCGGGAGGCCGGACGTGCTATTCTAAACAGTCTGGCTGATGAGCCTTCCATGTCACAATTCTCCCAAACTCCTGGTCCCTCGTTCACCCTCACACAGCAAGCCCGGCGTTTTGCTGATATCTGCCCTCGAGAATCCCTGACGAGATTCTTCTCACACGTTCCTCCAGCACACATTGTCCAGATGCTAAGCGATGCCCTGCATCAACTCAACGTGCCACTGGGGACCGTCACACCTAACCTCTATGCTAACAACGTGGCCAACATAAAAGTCAAGGCTCTCGATGGCCGTCGGCAACACTTGTATGGCGAGATCCAGGTCCATAAGCATGGGCTGGCTGATGGTGAGGTGCTCGACGTAAGCTTCGTCAAGGTCAAAGGCGATCCATTAGAATGGCGACGGTTCTTCAAAAAGGTAGTGGTTCTGTGTAAAGATGGTGTTTATGTCCCTGAGGCTTAGAGAAATTCGAGACATCCTGTCGATATAAATAATTTGCTGCCCGGAGCACAGTCTCCAGAGAAGATAGATGGCCTTATTAGGCCAACTCCATAGAGATATACATATCATGAACACATCTGTCGTGCTTCCATGATGGTGCCGTGTGAGTTCACTATGCGTGTCGCCTCACTCGATTTGGCCCGCAGATTCATTGTTCTGGTCAGTCCATTCAAATGCTGGAAGAAGGTCAGATACCACAAGTACGGCTTGGGAGACTAGCACAGCAATACGAACGTTGACGGCACATGGGACACTGCCCTCGTGAAGACTCCTGTTTGATCCATTCCATGATACAATGCTGTTTGAAGGGGGTGGTATGTTAGCCAATGCGTAAGCTACAGTGCAGCTCACGGACGAACCATGTGAAAATTATGGCCACATTTTCCAGATACTAAGGATTTGATTAACACGCGGGCGGAATCGGCATTATGGCAGGGATTCGGCTCACATAGCTGGCAATCATCGCCGGGATATTTGCATGTTGGGCATGTGCCATCGAAATGAACCTGGCAGATACCACAGACATCCTCTTCCGGGATATCCCATCTCCAGGTCGCGACGGTGTTCCACTTTTGGATCGTGACCTTCATGATTGATGATGGTTGATGAGGGTTCCCTCTGAAGAATAAGAGTAGTAGTACACTGGTTAACGGCAGTGGTAGAAGGCGACAAAAATAGAGCTCCCGCTGGATTTACGCGTGGGGGGATGTTATTGTTCAGGCACCCGACATAATAAAGGTCTGGTGGTCACTGTTATCACGAAACCCAGCACATGCATAATTTGATAATGAGCCCCCGAAAGACGGCCTGGAAGTCCCAAAGATGGCCGCTGTCGACCAATAGAGACAAGTCGAATGCCAGCGCAACGTGGTGCCATTGACCACTAAAAGTTGCCTCCAGGGGTCGGTCCTATTGGCCTGCCTAGGCTTCCCCGCAGCGCACAGCAGAACCGGGCCATGTGCCTGTGCGTGCTCAATGCTTATCAGCAGCTTCTCCAAAACCGTGGATTGCCTCACATCTACGGCATCTTTTATGTCGGCCAACCCCCCTAGGTCTTCGTGAACGAAGCCTTCCGAACACATTAATCTTCTCTTCTCCTACCGACGTATTCTTGCTGCCATATTACGGCTTTGCTCTCCTAGGTCCCGCCCTTCAATTCCTCTCGCCATCCGGACGAGAACAAAACGATCCAACCGTTCCGCGACTCCCATAACCTCACACAATGGCAGCCGTTCTTGCCCTCCGGCCTTTGCGGGCTGGGATCCCCCGCATAGGCATTAAGAGCTTCCGTGTGCACGGTGCTATCCGTCGAAATTTCTCTTCCTATCTAGTCAGCCCGAAGGAGCTACATGAAGCCCTCGCGAAAAACCCTCCTTCCCCGATCAGCCCCGAGCCCAGAGTCGTACCTCTATGCGCTTCATGGTTCCTCCCCAACGATGAGAGATCCGGTATCCAGACTTTCCGGGAACAGCGGATCCCCAAGGCGCGATTTTTCGACCTCGACAAAGTCATTGACAAGCGGAGCCCGTACCCTCACATGCTGCCCGATGCCAAGGGCTTTGCGGCCGCAATGAGTGAATTGGGAGTGCGCAAGGAAGATGCTGTGGTGGTATACGACTCGAAGGAACTTGGAATATTCAGTGCCCCTCGCGTAGCGTGGACGTTAAGGCTTTTCGGACATCCCAAGGTGCATATTCTGAACAACTTCAAGCAGTGGGTTGACCAGGGCCTCCCCACCGAGACGGGGGAACTTTACAGCGTCGAGTGTTGCCCGTACCCCATCCCTAAATTTGACGAGGCCAGTGTTGCCAGCTTCGAGGAGGTCAAGGAAGTTGCGCAAGACTACAACAAAGAGGGCGCCGAGGGCGTCCAGATTCTGGATGCAAGATCACCTGGCAGATTTACCGGCAAGGCGCAAGAGCCTCGCGAGGGCCTTTCCTCCGGACACATGCCCGGGGCTATTAATATTCCCTTCACTGAGCTCCTGGACCCTGAGACGAAGACATTCTATTCCCCGGAAAAATTGGCGACCGTCTTCAGCCAGAAGGGTGTTGACCCTAAGAAGCCTATCATCTCCAGCTGCGGTACTGGTGTCACAGCCTGTATTATCGACACCTGTCTTGAGGTGGCCGGCTACGGTTCCCCGGAATCAAGAAGAGTTTATGACGGAAGCTGGACGTAAGTGCAATTTCACGTGCATCATAGATGAGGGACCACCATGGGCTAACACATTGAATACAGGGAATGGGCGCAGCGGGTCAAGCCCTCTGACAATCTGATCGTAAAGACAGAGGCAGAGGCAGAGGCAGAGTAAAGAATAATGAGATGGCTGGTTCCTATTTATATACCCCGCTCTTCATCTTTTTTCCTTGAACCAACGCATGTACTACTATCGCTTGTTATGACCGGAGCTTCAGGTAACTATTTGGCAACTTCTTCACTGGGCCTTGGCAGCGAGTGGCAAGGTCATTCAACTGCTTATATTATCGACCTATTCTTTTTTTCACCTCTTCCCCGCTTATTCAGGGATCCTTTTCATATCTCTGTAGTTTGTTTGGCTGAAAAGTTAGCGGTTCTGATAGCAGCAATTGAAGTCATGATCATGAGATTCTACACAGCAAGGTCGTTAGCGAAACCTTACATCCCTCCCTTTGTCATAAACAGTCACAAGACAGCACATCAACGCTGATGCGACCCATTCTTGCGGATCTTCTCAGGAACACAAAGCTGATAGCAGTCTACGCTGAAATTCCTCGCTATGCTTCGGAGCGTTGAGTTCAATCATGCCAATTTCGGAATTGTAACGTTTACTAGCCCGAGTGCCTGTTGATCATTTTCGGTACGTACCGGACGTCCTACACCGAGATTCACCGAACCCTGTCCTCGGTGAGAAAATCTTACCCGCTTTTCTTAGTGCCTAGGTATCCAGGCACACACAACATGCACAAGCCGATTAGGGCTCAGATAACCCCAAAATTCCCAATTGCGTGGACCCCACCACCACCGAAAAAGTTCCTGGCCAAATCGCCGAAATACGACGACTTCACATCCGCCTGCGTCCCATTTGCGTCTCGACAACTAACCCCCCAGCGCAAATATTCGAACAATAATTGCCCAAGATGGCTGACCGTGGAACTTCTCGAGGTGGTGGCTTCGGTGCCCGAGGTGGTGACCGTGGCCGTGGACGTGGACGTGGCCGTGGACGCCGTGGTGGAAAGAGCGACGAGAAGGAGTGGCAGCCCGTCACCAAGCTCGGTCGTCTCGTCAAGGCCGGCAAGATCAACAGCATGGAGGAGATCTACCTGCACTCCCTCCCCATCAAGGAGTACCAGATCGTCGACAACTTCCTGCCCAAGCTCAAGGATGAGGTCATGAAGGTGCGCAGCGATATAACCAACCCATGCCATACAATATATTGGAACCCTGTCGAAATTCGAATTGGGGGTCTAATTGTATGAACAATGAGAAACGAGCCGTGGCTAACATCAATCTTCCCAAACCTACAGATCAAGCCCGTCCAGAAGCAGACCCGTGCCGGTCAGCGCACCCGATTCAAGGCCATTGTCATCATTGGAGACTCTGAGGGCCACGTCGGTCTCGGTATCAAGACCTCCAAGGAAGTCGCTACTGCTATCCGTGCCGCCATCATCATCGCCAAGCTGAGCGTTATCCCCGTCCGTCGTGGTTTCTGGGGCTCCAACCTTGGTCAGCCTCACTCTCTGCCCTCCAAGCAGAGCGGCAAGTGCGGTTCCGTCACCGTCCGTGTACGTATTCACCTCGACAACACCCCCAAAAAGCGTCTCTACAACCCAATTGCTTCGTTCAAGTGCTGACAGTTTGCCTCTCTAGCTCATCCCCGCTCCCCGTGGTACCGGCCTCGTTGCCTCCCCCGCTGTCAAGCGATTCCTCCAGCTCGCTGGTGTTGAGGATGCCTACACCTCCTCCGCCGGTTCCACCAAGACCCTCGAGAACACCCTCAAGGCCACCTTCGTCGCCGTCACCAACACCTACGGCTTCCTCACCCCCAACCTCTGGAAGGAGACCAAGCTGCTGCGCAGTCCCCTGGAAGAGTTCGCTGATACCCTGCGGGCTGGTCAGAAGCGATACTAGAGAGTTGGAGGCTGGTGCGCGGAGTCACGATCCCTTATGTGTTTCAATGCATGGTTGGCCGGTTAGGGCTTATTATTTTTCAGATTTGAGGCTACAAAAATATTACTGGCTATGGTCTGAATGAACCAAAAAAGAAATTCTCTTAAATTCAAGATCTCCCACCCGTGCCCTGTGTCATTGCTCGCCTATATAAATCAACTAACCGCCCATTCTAACAACGAAGACAAATCATGCTAACGCCTATACTATCCCAGAATCTACAGAGAACCTTCGCCATATAAACAAAAAATTTCACCACCTCGCCACAATTTCTTAGGCCTCTTTGTACATTGCCTCAAACTCTTAACGTCGAGTACTCGGAGAGATATCAGAGTCTCGTCTTCTGGAACTATCGACAGTCCAGTTAGGCTCCGAAAACCTGACTTCTCCATTGTCGCTAATAAGGATGTTTGTCGCTAGGGGGTTGGACTCGCTCGGCTGTTCACTAGGCCCGTCCTCAAAGATGCTGAACGAGCTGTGTTGATCCCGGACTCTGGGGCCTTCATTCCCATCCTCGGATCTTCCATACAGGTCAGGCTCACTTCCAGCTCCGGGTTCGTGAATATGTGTTACATCTTGCAAGGGGCCTCCTGTCATCCCACCTTGAGTCGGGCTATCATCAGGACTGGGCAGCAAGGTCCGTTGACCTACATTCTCCTTGTTAGAGTGGCCACTCTGTTCTGTTCCCCTCCCACTCTCCCGAGAATGGCCGCTCTCTGGGTTCTGATTGCCCATCACGGTCTCGAGCCAGCTGGTTCTCTCAGCTGGCGGATTGTCCTCCCCGTCCTCTTGAGGCTGCTGTCCGTCTTCCTCCCCCCCGCCCTCGAGAGGCTGTTGTGCGTCTACCTCCTCCGCTTCAAAAATCTCTGGTCTGACCTCTGCTGCATTCTGCCACATATCGGCACGCGGAAGAGTCCGGCTGGCACTATCAGCGTAGAAGTCATCATCATGTGCCCCCGGCTGCTGTGGCCCGTAGAACAAACTTCCCAACTCGTCTGGGCCCGCATGTTCGACGGCGTTCCTCTGCTCCCGCTCCTGTTGACACGCACCCCACCGATTAATGTCCCAGAACTTCCTCGCCCTGGGCTTCATCGACGAGTGCCCAAAGGTCCACAGCGCCTCCCTACGGCGTTTCTTGCCGCGCGGCTCTTGGCCGTGTGATTCATCATCATGCAGCTCCCCCAAAACTTCCTCGCCGACCATTTTTGCACATTCCGCTTCCACGTCATGGGGAGGGTCGTCGTCCCAGTCTTTCTGGAATCGATCCGGCACATGCTCTCGCACAATGTCCCTGTAGGAAGTGCGGCGCCTTTTCCGGCTCCCTTCCTGGGGAGTGTCGGTCTCTCGAGCCCTTGCGCGCCTCCAGATTTCCAAGGCTCTAGCCAAGGATTGGCGGCTTGCTTCCTCTCGCCCTTGACTCTCGAGGGTCTCCATGTCCTGTTTGTGCTCCTCCTTCAGAACACGTATTGTGTGACCAAGTCTATATGCGAGGCGGCGAAAGAATCTTTCTGTTTGCCTCTCGTGGTTCGCGACGATTGAGGTGCCATTTTCCGCATCAAAAGCCACCTGCCATGCCAACTCCTCGGCAGTTATGATCCCATCCTCTGCCTGGCTCAGAAGCCGCTTATAAGCCTCCCATCCGTCAACCTCTCCGCCGTTGCCCACCTCAGGAGGTGGATTGGGCCATCGGATTGTCCGCTCAGGATAGTGTGCTCTGACGGCATAGTGAGTATGATATGGGGAGCCTCTACAGCAAGGACATTAGCAACAAGATAACCCTGCAAATGCAAGTTTGACGAAGCCACCTACTGAAGCACCTTTCTTGTATCGGTGTCCCTCCAGACTTCCGGAGGAATCTGCCCGAGTCGCCATTTCTTTACGGGTCCTCTCAGTCCTGTGTTGAACTGCTGGATGAGCTCTTGCTTGCTCAGAAAGCCCTGGTTTGTGTGAAAAGTTCGCGTGCATGTGGCATAATTCTTGAGCCAGCTCCGGATCCTTCTCCAGAATACATCAAATCGTCTGTCGCACTGCTCCACTGCCTGGGGCATATGGCCATAGTAGAGGGGTCTGCTTAGATACCACAGCCAGGAAGCCTCTTCCGGGGCAATGAGCCTGAGTTCTCGCTCACCGTCGCTGCCCAGCAAGAATTCGTAGTCTCCGAATTGCAAGTCCAGCTCGGGCCAGGGAACTCCCCGCCGGCCCTGTTCAATCATGTCTTTTATTTCGGTGATCAGGGGCCGTTGCCTCCATTTCCCGTCGGCTTTTTCGAGCTGCTCCGCCAGTTTCTGATGCTCGCGCAGTGTGTCCCAGGTCTGCTTCATTTTCTCGTCCATCATGCTCAGCTCCACGGGCCCGTTCCAGTTTCTCGGGAGCGGCATGACAGGCTCGCCTTTGTCAGTTTCTGCCAAGGACTCCCTGTATTCTTGGATTGCGCGATCCCTTTTCGATGCGACCTGGCTCTCTTGTTGCTCCATACACCTCTTGCTGATTGCCGTCAGCATCCACCTCACCTCTGCTTCCTCGAGTTTCGAGCGAATCCTCGGTAGCTTTGGCTCGTCTTCAACAATGCCAGCGTCATGTAGCAGCTCAATGATGCTCCCCCGTCTTGGCGTGGACGGCGGCAATAAGGGATGGTTTGGATGCAGAAGATGAGCGAAACGGTTCGTGCCAGAGAAGGCGGCAGGGGAGTGCAATTGAGCTTGCTTCAGCGCCTTTTCGTACGTCGTTATCAATATAAATGGCTTGATCTGCTCCAGTGTGTTTTGCAGCATTGTGTACCATGGCTCATCCCCATCTGCCTCTCGATCTAGGGAGACTAGGTATCTAAAGCAGTCGAATGTCTTAGCCTTCCAGTCGGAGATGGGATCTCTGTTCTGGTTTCGAATCATATCCTGGATCCCGTAAATCTGTACGTGCGGTGGTGCTATACTCCAGCCTCGGTACTGGCTATAGCTTCCATCCCGGTTTGGAACGAGAGGTTTGCAGGTGAGCCATCGAAGCAGCCACCCGTCAGTGTATGGCTCCTTTTCGATCCTCAGCTCGTTAGCCCTGAATTGCTGGGCCGGGTCTTCATTCTCTGCCATTATATCGGGTGTGCCTTTCGGTCGTTTTCAGTAGAGCTCTCAATGGAATTGGTTCGATGAGATGTAAGAGAAGCACTTTCGCGGTAGATGTCGCCCTTTTTTGTCCTACAGTCCTATATTTGTATAATTCTCGCCGTTGCTCCTGTTTCGGTTTGACGTAATTTCTCTCTTTGGTGGGAGTGTCCAAGTTTACATTGCTTTGTTCGAGCCCACGCGGGCAGACAATGGCCACCCCACCATTGTTATTCTTGTTTGTGGCACCTTCTTTAAGCGCCTTTGTAGAAATGTCTTTACGGGCAGTTTCCTTCTAGTAGCTTCTATGTATAAGTTGCCGTTTCTAATTTTGTAGGTCTTTATTTAGTTGATTCTTGGTGTTACAACCTTCGGAGCGCCAAATCGCTGTGCAACTAAAGTTTCAGGTTTGTTGAACAATCATCTTCTCCAGGAAGAACGTATATTTAGGGTCGAAATTTCCGATGGTATTATCATGGTTTCCTTTTCGACCTTCTTGAGTTTTCGAGCTAATTGGTTTTGATGGTGATCCAATTGACGTCTTGTCAAGTTTAGAACTGGATATAGCAACTCTAAGACAACACGTCTAAACAGGCAATAGCAAAGGCACAACTACAGAAAAAAAGTAGTAGACTACCACAATCAAATCCAAAACCATCACAAAGCCCCCCAGCATGCAACAAAACACAATGTGAAGATGGGTTGTGGTCTCCATCAACTACTCCTACAGGGTAGGTTCCGCATGTCGGGATCCTGATAATCGAGCCTTGCACAAGATGAGGTTCAATTTCATGCGCATTCCACAAGTGGAGACGACTTCACCGAGAGAGTAACCGCAAATGGAAGACTATGTAAATTGGCAAAGCCTTGATCAGGTCGGTCCTCTCTTAGATTTCAGGCGGGTCACGAGCCAAAGAGCCATGGTCGAGTCCAAGGAGGCTACACCCACGGCGCCATGCCCCGAACGAAGCAATAAGCGCTAGGACACCGCTACGTGCGATCCCGCGATGGGAAATGGGCTGATATGGCGAGATCGAGAGGGCATCGCATCGCGCTGGCCGGTCCAGAGCACAGCATCCAGGGCGTGTCGTGTGCGCGGTGGCTGGCTGGCTTCATTTCCTGGACCTGCACGTTGCGGAATGGGCTCCCCCATGCCAGCCTATCAGCCGGTCCTCGACGCCGGAGCTGCAGGCTAATCCTTCCTCTCTCGGTGTAAGTCCAGGCAGCGATAATTTACTGTCTGGCATGCCTCTCTGCACATGGCCGAGACGGGCATATCAAACGCTGGTATTGTCCATTTCGGCACTGGCACTGGCTGCCCACGGGCCCAATGAGCGCCTGTGTGTGCGCGCGAGGCGAGTTCCTGTTCCTTATTATAGTTCTGGTCATATTAATCCCCCATTGACGAGGCGGATCGGCCAAGCGTACAACTCATCCGTCGATGCGCCCCCGTTGCTTCTGGCCTTTGACTCACCAACTGCCTGCGTCCATGCCATGACCGTCTCATCTCCTCCTTTGCTGGACTCCCCAGACTCCAGCCGGGAACGTCTCATGCCATGCGCCTCAAGATGACGACCTTATGCCGCCGTCAGCACACGACCTCCGTCAATACGGACCTCTTAATTACTTACCTGCTTGGACTAGCTATCGCGGTAGCTGCCAGGGGCCCACTCCTTCACAGCACACCGTCAATCTGCAATATCCCATCACCAGGTTCCAGCATGCCAAGCGAGCGACGAGCCCTGCGGCAAGCGAGACAAAGAGCAAGGCCAAAAAGAAAAAGAAAAAAGGAAACCTCAAAACCACCCATCAATCTCTAATGCACAAGGGGAAGGAGACAAGCTCCCGCTCCCGGCCAAAAATATCCCCCCTCCCCCCCTTCTGCCCTCAGTCTACCTACCCTAATCAAGGCCAGCACACACCTCCCTTCCGAACCCCTTTCGCATACCAGCAGTCATGCCAATTAAGAAAAGAAAAATCCATATATCGAAAATAACTAGGTAGAGCCGCGCGAGAGCCAATTAAGCTAAACCAGCTATCACACCAGCAGCTTCCTCCTTCCGGCAAGCGCTGGGTCTTCGCTCTGCCCACACCCCCTTCCCAGGAACGCCTTCTCCGGGGGGGGGAATCTAACTAATTTATCCTCTCTTTCTTTTCTACGCCAACATCGAGATCGTCCCAAGATCTCATATCACACCATTCTTGCTTTTTCTTAATGGCCCTTTTCTCCATCACCTACTATTGCCCATAATGCCTGTCCATCCCTGTAGACTGTAGCTCTCTTATCAGCGCGGGGGATATTGTTGGAACACACCCCTTCAGCCCGAGTATCAGCCTCAGGAGATGATGTGTGTATGACTACCATGTGCTGTGGGATAAGGCCTGACACCTGTAATGGGCTAGCAAGTCTTAATGTGGCGATTACCAGGACCGTGTGCCATGGGAAAGCTTGGACTCGATATCCAGCATCATCGTCTGAGAGATATATCCCATCTTCTGTTATACGTCTGAAATTATGTACACTATTCACGGCTACGGCAAACTCATGCAAGGATCATGCTTGATTTTAGAGCAATTTTTTTCTTCAATCTTGCTTTGTACCTGTTTACATCTACCCATACACAGGGAGCGAGAAAGCACAGCGGGAGTGAGGTGACCAGGTGCTCGCCCTTGGTTTTAGTATTGTGCGGAAACGATCTTGTTGCGCCAAGCTCCAGCTCTCCATAGCGTCGTGTGTAACAATTAATACAGGAGCCTGAGCCTAGCCCCGTCTTCCGCCCCGCCTCTGTTTCAATAAAGCTTCCACTGTGTTCTTTCCTGGAGACCCGTCTGTCTCATCATGGCTCTTCCTGCCTCTACACAGACGGCGCCGTATTGCATTCTTGGTATATCCTTCCCCCATCACTGGGTCGTCCTCGTCCGCATGTCTATGCTTGTGAAATCAACTTTTAATCCCCGTAGACTGTCCTCTCGCGATAGGACCAATATTGGAAAAATGAAAAACTGAAATAATTCGTTCGAAAGGGGTATGGGTTCGGGTTCCTTAATTTTTTTTTGGTGCCGAATCGACTTGAAATTGAACTCGAGTCGCAATAAGAAAACAGAGAAAGCAAAAACTATTGTCGCTAAATGCCATGACGTAGATGAAATATATCATTCTGCATGCCTCCATGCAATCGAACTTCTCTAACCCGAGAAATGAGTTTTAAAAAAAATCGGTGGCCAAGAAGGTGAAGGTACAAGGTGAGAGTAGTTGCCCTCGAAGAGAAGGAGAGTAAGAGGTGATGTCTGCTGAAGCTCAGTGGACGTCGATGGGATTTTGGTACGGGGGTTCCCTATTGGTTCACATAGTGTGCTTGGGGATAATTTGAGTAGTGGTGGGTGTCGGTCACATATAGTGATGAGCTGTTATGATGCGGCGTAGGCGTTGATGGGCAGCGGGCGGCTGTGACTGATTGTGATGTAGCGTTGCCATAGTGGTGACCATCGGGCGTGATAGGCGGCGTCAAGTATCCTTCCAATCCGAATGTTGAGCCGTGGCCTTTCTGGGGAGTGCTGCAGACGTCAACCTGCCTCGCAGGCTCAGTCGGTGGGGTTGGGGGCTCGGCGTTGCGGCGGGCTAGTGCTGCTTGTTGCGCCATGAAGTCGGCCAGCTTAGGAGATACACGCGAGAAGTTGGCAGTTGCGTATTTTCGGGCGAGCGTGGGCGACGGGGTGTGGAGGTGGTGCGACAGAGTGATGAGTGTCATGTTGCTCTTCTGGTCCCACTCCCCATCGTTGACTTCGGGTCGCCCAAGAACAGCTCGGGCGAGGGCGAGAGACGCGCGTGAGAGAACCGATGGCTTCGTGGAGACAAAATCTCTGCTGTACAAGGCGATTTCACTCATATAAGCGGCCATGTGCTCCACCTCTTGATCGTCCTGCTCCTCGGCTACCATGAGTTGCGAGAAAAAGTCGACAGTCGGGTGGCCAATGGTCCAGTCCAGGGTGTTCAGAACGTGCATCTCCATCTGCGAGAACATGCCAGCGTCGTAGAGTCCACAACACATGTTGTTGAGTTCGTGAATCTGTGGCACACGATCCTTCTTGTCACCGTACTTGGCTGCAATGAGTAGAGCCGCGCAACCGACGAGTTGGTAATGCTGCTTGTAAACTATACGCTTAGCGCAGTATCGGTCTAGAAGATTGACAGTGAGGAACAGAGTCTCGGGCAGTAGACCAAAGGCGCTGTGAGCCTCGATGAGAAAATCGATCAGGTAAGGTCGCATGAACCACTGAATCTCGCGTTGCATATCAATGAAGTTGACGTCTGGGATCGTCTCGTCCTGTTATGTTCATTTAGCCACACTACCCAAACATGTTACCCAATGCTCAAACATACCTCCATGTGTCGCATGTGATCCATAATCTCCTCCAAGTACTCGTCTGCCGCTAACCGCGAAAGCTCATTTGAGATGAGCTCTTGTCTTCGACGAGCGATCAGCTTTGCTGTTTGTCTGGGAGTGAGCTTGGGGTAGAGCTGCTCATCTGACTCCACGAAGAAGGTGGAATCTGTGTAAGAGTGGGCCATGATGTCGGCTGAGGCTGTGACCCAGGGTTGTAAAGAAACAGGAACAGATTATTTGTGAATTTAATCAAAGAAAGACGGATAAGTTCTCCAGGAATCTTGGGTCGGAGATGAATGCTTTTGGCGTGGAGGTTAATGACTGTGAGCCCGGTCGTGCCTTCTGAAAATGTAGAAGCGCGGTGGGCAATTAAGAGATTAGAGTATTAAAGAGTGTGATGAAAAAAATTATTGCAAAGGAGTGACGGTGGCTGGAAGAGATGCCGGGAACATGTATAAAAAAAAAAGAAGATGGTTGAAGTGAGAAAAGGGAAATGGAACAAGGGGCCGTTCCGATCGATAGGTCGACAAAGGGGTTGTCTATCAGAATTAACATATCAGCGCATGGTCGCTCCTAGCAAGGATCATAGGGGATGGAGTATGTAAAGGACGGCAGGATAGAGGGCAAGACTGATTCGTCGAGTTGCCTGGAGAGCCAGCCGGCTCCCTTGGCAGCCATGGTATGCGGATGGAGGACTGCGAAATGTGATTGGCACACTGGGGTGAAGGGGGGAGAGCTTACCGCCACAATTCAAGGAGACGGGTGGGCGAGGCCAGATGAGACAAGGTCCTTTATTGAGTGGGAGCAACGAGCTAACGTGTCCCACAAGCAAGTCTCGAAATGGAGCTCAGATTTAGATGCGGAGAGCTCGATGCAAACCGTGACGGCAAGAATCACTCTGTATTATCCCATTAGAACTCAACTCAATGAGGCCGGGAGACGAGCGCGGCAGGCGCATTCGCTCAAAAGAGGTCTCAGGCCACACACCTTTCCGCAACTGAAATTGCACCTCGGCTAGAATTGGTCCACGAGGAAAGCCAATGCTAACGTTACTGAGCTCGACAGCCTTTCATCCGCCGATATGCAGAAGGGGCGACAATCACGAAGCGACGGAAAAAGACACAGGGGGGAGAGAGAATTCCAATTAAGTCGTCTACCCTTGACTCCCGTGTTGAGGTCGCACAGGCACGAGCGTCGACAGCTGAACCAGTCTCGGGAAGGGAGGGGCGCTCGATCGACTCGTCTGGACGGCGTGGAGGGAGGAGGAAGTCGAATTGGATTTTTTTCGGCGAAGGTGGGTTTAAATTTGGAATTCCTCGTCGCCAAGTTGAGGAATTGTGGAGGCTCGAATGAGGCCGAAGAGGCACCACGGCGAGAATGAGAAGGAGAGAAGTTAACAAGGAGAAAAATAAATAAAGAGCGAAGCACCCAAAGCAGATGAATCACTGAAAGATTTCTATGCTTCTCTTTTCTTCCCTTCTTTCGTAACTCGGAGCGGGCTCTTCTTCCTATCCGTTCTTTATACCTGGGGGACGGCGTGGTCGAAAGGAGGTCCCGGAATGAAGAATCTTCCCAAGAGTCCAGCCCAAGGCTCTATTGACGAGTGAGTCAGGAAGAGATGGAATGAATTCAGGGAATGAATGGATAAGGAAGAGAGAGAAGGAAGGAGAGGGAGGGGAGGGAGGTGGTTAAAGGTAGGAGTAGTGGGAGAGGAGGAAAAAGGACTGGAGGAGAGAGTGCAAGCAGGAGGAACAGTAGTTTTAACCAACCCACAGTTGGCCATTCACTGCACGCCTGGGGAGCGAGCTGAGAGGAAGGTCAAAGTCACCTCAACCAAGGTCAGGGACTGGGTCAGACTGGGTCAAGGTGCACGCAGTAGCCACTGGGTGGTGGTGCTAGCACTCGGTACGTACCCCCCCACCCCTCCCAGGATGGACCCCAGGCGAGAGGTGTGAGCAACAGGAACTGCCCTGTCCTGCCCTGCAGAACGGCTGGCTGCTGGCTGGCTGGAGGCCCTCACCTGTCAGCGACCGAGGACACTGGTACAGGCGGGTTCCCCAAAGGCAGGGGTATCGGCCACGTCTGATTGGACTGCGCTAGCCTGGGACCTCCTGTGGTGGGAGACGAGATGAGTGTGAGAGACTTGCACATTGTACCGCGTCGCTGTGGAACACCACCACGTTTAGGGGGGTACGGGAGGGGTGCAGGGGGGACGGGCAGCGAGACGGGCAGTGATTGGGGGTGAGGTGACTGGCGGATGAGGCCCATCGGTGCAAACAGGCAGGAAAAGGTAGGCAGTTGGCTTCAACCGGGCTAGTCACCTCACTTAGGCCCATCAGCACCTAGCTGAGGTACTTGAGCTCGATTCTAGCGAGTCTCCCCACCAATTACCCGCCGTAGGTAGCTGCTGCAGCGTGCAGCCCAGTGGGTGCTTGCCCACCGGCGAGCAGGGAACCGGCCTCAGCACTCATCCGTCCGTTTTTTTGAGGGGGCTGGGCTTGAGCACAGGGAGCGAAGGCGGAGCGGGAGAGGGGACTGGCAGTGCTAAGGTGATGCTGGTGATGCAAGATGGTGACGACAAATGAATAAGGCTGGCTGTGCACGTACATACATGCAATGTGTTCCTGATCGCCCGCGGGCTACATCCAGATGCAGAGCGCGCGGATGTGCTCTGTCCCGAAGCAAGTCCTGTTTGAGACTGTCGTTGGTCCCTTGCCTAGCCGTCGGTGCTTGGACTGTATTTCCCTCTGTCCCCTTACGCTGTCTGGCTGGATTCCCTTATCGGGGGTTGGCTATATTGGCTGTGGGAGGCGGACGCAGGGGCAAGCCGTATGTTGCGGCGCGAGGTACCGAAAAAAAAGAGACCCAAAAATGAAAACGGGTATAATTGCTGTATAATAAATGTGCCGGGTGCTATGCTATGCTGTGCGGGTCTGCGCTATGCGTGCTGTGCAATGAATTGTGACGCCTGAATAACTCGCAAGGGCCAAACACCAGGAATTGGGGGGCGCTGTGTATAAACTTGGCCGGTTCGAAGGTATGTCGTCAAGGTGGGAGGAGAGGAATAGCATTTAAGCAGAAGCAGATCTGGCAGACACCCTTGATTTATGGGAGTTGAGAGTTGCCAGACTAGGTTGGTTTCAACATTTCCTGATTGGGCTTTGTTGATGGGTTTAGGTTGTGCCATCCTTTGTTGATTCCCAGCATCGAATGAATGGCACGAGGAGACGGCCGAGGCCAGGCTCGGGCAGGTCGCGAGGCCGCACAGCTGGTCACCTCCGCCCGTCTGTGTGTCGCCATTGAACGTGGCCACGGGTGAAGCTAGATAGCCATCGCAATCCCCAATCTATTGACTCCATTCACACATTCATGTGCCGGCGGGCAGCCCATGGGACCTGCCCCGTACACGGACGCAGCACAGACTTATCACAGCTAACATTCAGAAGGTACGGGGCTTGTGGCTGCCTGTCCCGCCTAGAAGGACAATAACTGGGCATCGAATAGAGCAGAATAACCCTCCTCCCTTCCTGCAAGCCGCAGCCAGGGCCATCTCAAACACACGGACGGCCGTGCCTCCATCACATCTCCATCGCTAACGGTTCATGGCATGACGGCTTGTGCGCCCATTGAGGCCTAGAAACACTCAATGGGGCCCTCCTGCGCTTGGAGGTGGGTTGTACATGGGCTCAGCAGCAGCAGAGTGCCACCAAATAACGCAAGCAGCACCAGCATCAGCACCAGCACCGCACCTATAACGCCGGTCGGCTCCCATCTCCACCTCTCCGCAAACCTGAGCCTTCCTAGTCCAGCCAGGCCCTGGACCAATTCAAACGTATTACGAAGAGAATGTGCGTCGTCGCCCACCACTGCACTAGGTGGTAAATAATCAAGGGGGGCCTCGGCCAGGGCTACACGTCGGGACGGGATACCTCAACGCCAAACCGACACGCTACCTTTAAGTGGATGTGTTGTTCCCTCCGCCTTTCGTTTCTTTTTTGCTTGGTCTCTACCTGAGTCTGCTTCCGGGCTCGTCGGCACTCATCTCGGTGGGGAATCTGGGTAGGCAAGACAAAGAAGATGGATCTTCAGGACCGATAGATTCGGACACTTGGACCCCCGCTTGGGGGGCTGGACTACTCACTGGCCAATTATCCACCCGAAGGCCTTGCCCAGGACAATGGAAGGTTACATGTTCAGGCGTTGAGGCACAAACCAAGGCCGGTGCTGTCCCCTCAATCTCAGCCTTAGTGGCGAGGGAGGTCGTCACAAGCGTACAGAGTAGTTCACAGGGTTCGTTGCCTGTAAGTCATGCGATTATTGTGCCTCGGGGAGGAACAGTGCAAATGCGGCATCTCATTCGCAAGCCCCCGTGCGTCAAGCGGAGCTCGCGCACAACTAACAACCAACGAACCGAACTGCTGCAGGCAGTCATCATTCTGACAAAGCAGGCTCTTGATGAGGCAGATCAGTCTAGCAGCGCCACACGGGCACGCCATCCACGACGTGACCGATTAGGCAGGGCGACAGAGTTTGGCTTCTTTGTCTGCTCGTGTCGGCCGTCCAAAACCAGGTTTTTCTTGCAGGCCGATGCTGCCAATTCGGGGCATCCTGACTGGGGCTCTGGCCATCCCAAGGGGAGGGTACAGCTTTACAGCTTCAGATCTCGCTCTCGCAAACTAGCCATGGATCAGGGTCCAAAGCTCCGGCCTATCAGACGCGTCCGAGACCATCTGCTCGCGGTATCACGGGCTAGCGCCAGCATCGCATCACCGGGGCCTCGCGTTTGGCCCCCGTAAAAAAACCAAAACACCTGCAGATAATGGTGAGAAAATAACCCTCACTGGGCCAGCCAATGACAACCGTCAGAAACGCGTTTGGCCTTATAGCACCAGCGAGATGACAGTTCAGTTCTCGATCCCGTACCAGCCAAGCATGCATTTGGATGGCGTTATGGACCGCGCTATCCAGTGCCTCCATCCCCACGATATTATTGTATGGTGAGGCTGGTCCGTAAACGGCCCAGCGGATACCTTTAATCGGTACTGAAACCCGTAGTATCAGCCATGTGGTATCGCCTCGACACCAATTAATTGATCAATGGCGTTGGAGTAGCTCTAAGCACCTGGCCAGCCTAGTCCAATACTAGTTCTTGGATCTGGGCCATTTGAAGTACAGTTCGTTAAAC